TAAATATTGTATAATAATAAAGAGAATAAAACAATGCAATAAAATAATTTTCATTTTTATTTTGTTATTTATGTACAATTCAGCTCTTTACAACTGTTGATATAACTTTAGAAGCCCTGCAAAAATATATTGTTTTAGTATATTGTAAAAGTCATTTAATTTTTTTCTATAAAATATGCACTACCTCAAACTATCTCCATGTGATTTGTATTCCATATTTGCATTGGCAGGTAAATTTAATACCCGCTTTAATGTGTCTCGAACTCGGGCTACACTGGTTTGATCTGTTGCAGTTCTATTCCATAAAGATACTAAATCCTCCTATTTGAAGAATTAAAAAATATTCACAATTCACAATATGTGCAAGTTTATATTTAATTGAAAATGAAATATACAGCACCTGAAACCGAACTGACAAAACAGCACCACAAATTTCACCACCAACCATAAATTGTTCTCCTAGCATTGCCATACATAGATTTTCCCAAGCTCTGCCTGCAAGACCCTTTCTTAACCTAATTACCTGTAAAAATTAAAATTCTTTCACAGTTGCTCATAAGGATAGAAGAAAGAGAGAAATCCGGAGAAATGTTTGAGATCTATTTCAATATATAGTCAAAATATGCTTAATTTATCTAATTCCATATTCAGAAATATTTAGTGACAAATTATAAATAAAATAACCCAAATAAATAGTACTCTGTAATATACATACCCATTTACCACCACGTGTGTTGGCTGGGTCTTCCCACATAGGCCTAATACCACTTTTAAATAAATGTAAATCTGTCGTAGGTGGTAATTCACTAGAACGAGCTAAATGACAATACATGGACCACCATTGTTCAACTGACCCACAACGTCCAACTAAACGTAGTGCCTGAAATGTAAAATGACTATGAAATGGTATAAAAAGTAAATATTGTATATAAATGTAGTAATATATTTATAATATGCAGACTTATTTTCATTTAAAAACAATTGCATACCTATTTGTCTATTGAAATTCAAACTGCTTTGCTCACTAACATTAATATTAAACGTGATGTGAAAAAACTTTAAACACAATTTCACTGTGAAAAAAATTATGACTTTGCACAAACGATTTTGAGAAAAATATCATTATTCTTACACTGACAAACATTATTGCCAATACCTTGCACCTCTAGCAGAGTAATGTTTTACATAATTGATTGAAGACCTATTTGATGATTGCAATCTAAATCTCAAGATCAAGCAAAAAAGCTATTGACAATCGAGTATCTTATTATGACATGAAGAATCATATACTTAGCTTAGTATAAACAAAATTTAAACATAAATATTAACGAGATATATTCATATTATTCTTGTTATTCTTCATACGTTTTTGGTCGAAAGTTTTATGTAGGTTTTAACTTAAAAATCATTGCTTACCTGTGTATAACCTTGTGTAGAATTTAATCGTGCTGCACTTTTGGTGTATCTTGAGAACCACAACCAATATGGATATTGTAATTTATGTTCAGTGGGCGGAATTTCTAAAGGGGGCAGAGTATCTGGATTTACAACATAACCTCCAATGTCCTCATCGCCACTTCCACTATCGTCACCACTTTCAACTTGTGTCTTGAGACTAAAATACGATTTCAACACAACTTATAATAATAAAATAACAAATGGTATGAAATGACTGAAAACACAATTAAAACTAGCCGTTGTTCTAAAATGAATTCAGGTAGAAGATTATCATATGTTGCACCAGATTTAAGAGCAGGAGCTAAATATTTTTGTGAAAGCACAAGTATCATGGACATAGATTTTTCAGATATGCACAGCATTAATTAAAACTATAAATTATTAATTATAAGCATATTTTCAACTTACGCTTCAAATTTGTTTGACATTTTCGGTTAAGTATGTACAGGAAATATTTTAATAACAACTGATTTTATATATATCACAGACTTAAATACTATATATATTTATAAAATATGCAACAAATTTATTAGAAAAATTATACAGAACAATTTGTGTTTTTGTAATAACAAGTAATCCAAAAATGCCAATACATAAATACCAAAACCAGATTTGTAAACTTGAGAAAATGAAAAAAACAAATGACAAATGACAACTACCCGTTGCTGTCAGATACCAACAGTTGGTACATGTGTTAACTGTCAAATTGAAGTCAAAGAGGTTAGAATTGTGAATAAGTAAAATAAATTTGAATAAATATTTTAAAAGGTATTTCATTATTACTTTTAATAGTATTTTTATTATTATGTATTATAATTTTGTGATATATCTTTGAAAAATAAAACACAAAAAAAATGTCAAAGTGACAGATCCTGTACTGTTGTAAGTCCAGTTTTATATTTACCATTAAATATTTAGATTCATTTTATTTAAATTTCCAATTGTAATTCCATAAATAAGCATTTATAATGTATGCTTTTGCATGTAAGTATATTTTGTTTGTGTATAATGTATTATTAATTTGAGCTTGTTAAGGCGTTCAAAATCAGATTATTTTGTGGTCTTTCTGTATGGTAATTAATCCTAGACAATATAATAATTAATGGTAATTAATTCTATCTCCTGAGTCCTATCAATTTAGATTTGCCCATAGTTTATTAAGTTTTTAATTTGAGCTTTTCTTGCTAGTCAGTACAAATAATATGAGCGAATTGTTAATGCTTATTAATCTTATTAATATTACTGTTGAAGTACTAAATTATTGATTAAAAAGACATATAACTTCAATAATTTCTTATAAACAAAATTAGTTACAAGTTGGCTTTTCACTTATTTTATTTTTAAGACCAATAATTAATCTGAATATTTTGATTCATATTACTATTTGTACAATTAAGATTATGAATACATGTCCAAATTAAATTATATCAAACTTTGTTGTCTTAATAGTTGATTAAGAATATTTTTAAAATTATATAGCATAAATTTATGCTTTCAAATATTTGTTAACAAATAATCTGTCATATATGATAGATTATTTGTTAACAAATATTTATTAATTGAGACGTATCCAATAGGTTTTATATTTTAAAAACTATATAAACTATTATAAATTTTATAAATTATACAAACGGGCAATTTAAAATTGCACCATAAAATTAATTTTAAATGAGAAAAGTAGTTAGTTAATTTTTTGTTAATAAATTAGTTAATTGTTCATCAACTGGTTATTTCAGAAATTTAGAAGATATATCACAAATAATCGTACTTGATGTAAGCATGAAGGTATTATTTTTTGTATTGATTGTAGTTTATCTTAATTATTTTTTAAATTACGTTTTCTTATTAAATTTTATCATTATTATTATAAACCTGGAGAATTTATAATACTATTTTTCTTAATATTAGATTACATAAAACATTGATCTTTAACTCATCAATATATTATTCAAGCTTACAAATATTTTTGTACTTCACTGCTTATTGAGATAAGGATGATTGATGTATTCCATTCCAATTGTGCTAGATTAGATTATATTAATACATCATATGATTATCTTAATTCAACAATACAATCAACGTTTGTCGTTCAGCAGTAATATAAATCCCAATTGATACTAATGGAAATATTTAACAGCTGGACTCTGTGATTATTTTATAACAGAAATGTCCCGTCGGCGCCTTTTACTTTTATCATCCTCTAGTGTTCATGGACATCAATATTTAGTTTATGCAAGAGATGAAATAATAAAATTATTGAAACCGTAAGTTATTCTAAATATATTTTGTATTTTGGTGTATTTTGAAGTTTTGTTAATTTTTATTTTCTAGATGCAATGTCGAAAAAATCTTATTCATACCATATGCCATGAAAGATCATGACGCATATACGGACACTGTTGCTAAAGCCCTAAATACATTGAACTTTGAAGTTGAAGGTATTCATACATTTAGCGATCCTGTAAAAGCTGTAGAAAATGCTCAAGCAATTTTTATCGGCGGTGGAAACACTTTTCAGCTACTAAAAACTCTCTATGACAAATCATTGATATGTCCGATTCGAAAACGTGTACACGAGGACGGTTAGTTTAAATTAAGGACCATGATTAAGTAAGTAATTATATCATCCATGTATATTAATTGATAGGTATGCCCTACATGGGTAGCAGTGCCGGTACAAATGTGGCCACAATTAGTATTAACACAACTAACGATATGCCAATTGTTTATCCACCGACTTTCAAGGCTTTAGAATTAATTCCATTTAATATAAATCCCCATTATATCGATGCAGATCCATTAAGCACCCATAAAGGAGAAACGCGTGAAGATCGAATCGGTAAAAAACGATATATATTTCGACTTAATATTTTGAAGAAAATATAATAATATAATCTTATGTTCTTAGGTGAATACTTAGAACAACCAGAGTCTCACAATGTTTTGGGCTTACGGGAAGGCTGCATGTTAGAAGTGAGTGAGAACAAAGCATTTCTGCGGGGTATCAAAGGTGCAAGATTATTTGAACGGTGAATAAATGTTTAATAGTTAGTTTATTTTGTAAATTTTATAAACATTTCTTTTATTTATTAATTTCTTTTCTAGAAATATACCCGCTCGTGAACTGTGCGTAAATGACGACGTTAGCTTTCTCTTAAATTCATGTTCATAAGAAAGATCATCATTTAATATTTTTATATCTTTTATCATAAATAAATTTTATGACAAGGATATGTTTGTATTATTTATTTTTATTCTAAATTTTTATTCTAAATCGATTATTATCAATTATAATTATTGTAAACTAATATTTGTTAATTAAAACATATCCATATAGATTTTATATTTTTATTTTTTTTTATAAATTTTAAAAACCATATAAACTATTATAAATTTTATAAATTATACAAACGGGCAGGAGTAGTTTCCAGGCAATAAAATATTAAAATATAATATTGAAGGTGAATCCATTGCTGTTCACGCGCACCTTATCTTTCGTTCAATTAATGATAATTTAAATTACAACATTGTTATGATCTTTTTATTTATCGACACATAAATCCCAGATTAACGTAACTTGTTAGCCCACTTTTTGATTGGGATCTTTTCTGTATCGGATTTGGATTCGATATACTATGTCTTACATTATTGTTCAGTTCTTGAACTGTTGGCACATTTCGAACTTGTCTTCGAACAGTTAGTACATTTGGACAAGGCCTTGCAATAATGGTAGTAGGAATATTATTTCTATTTAATTGTGTGAAGAAACCTCTTGCGAAATAGCTGCTATGATTATCAACAGTCAAGTTGTTAGTTCTTTGTGCAGGTGGTTGATGGTGTCCAACTGTTCTTATTTTGTGTACTCGTTCGGCGTTCGCAAAATTCTGCAAAATTTTGACCAAAGAAAAGGCATTTTCTGTAATAGTTTGCCCAGAAAAGATCTGGTTATTTAGAAGATTAGTAACTGCTCCCAACTGCAATGGTATACCGTTAAATTCCTTGTTAGATTGGCTAGATTTGACTGGTATTTTCTTTGGGACCTTCGACTTAAAAAAGTCTCCTTCCAAAGTATCACCACTGTCCTTGCATATTAATTTTAACTGGCGAGTAATATAATTATCTTTTGTGTTTTTCTCAAAATCATTTGATGGCAAATCTTTCAGAGATGTTGGAATTCGGGAATCAATGTCGACATGAAGGTCCACTTCCGTTATATTAGTTTGAAATAAATTAATAGTTAAAGGCTGGTATTCACTTATAACTGAACTTTTAATAACGTCGTAAAGTTTATATACAATTGAGGGTTCTGCCAATCGCGATCTTCTTGGTAAGGGCGTCACGTGAGGAAAGTCTGCGAGCATACCTGTACAATATCTCTTATAAAAGTCGAATTTGAAATTGGTTTGTTTTTATATTTTACAGTAATACAGTCTGAAAGGTTTTAAGTCATACCTAGTATTTATGATGGAATCATTCTATCCTTAGGTAACTTGTGAAATTGATGCATAATGTAAAACATTCTCAAAATGATATAAATCATATTTATTGGATTATTACCTTTTTTAACTTCAATGACCTCATCAATTTTGGCATCACTTCTACTTTCAGATACTTTCTGTATTTCTACGATCTCTTCTGTATTGTACATTTGATCGTCCAAATAATATATTTCAGAATAACTTACACTCTCCAAAGAACTTTCTGATGCCCTTCGAAATCTATGCATAGGAGTCTTGTGCAGATCAAAAGTACATTGATTGATGCTTTCAACTTCACAAGATTGTTCAGAAACTACAATTGATAAATGGTATAAAAATATCATAGTCGGAAACAAATTATCTGAAAAAAAAAACTTAAATTTTTATAATACCATTTATTGAAGTTGTGCTGATTTTTTCCGCTTCCATCCAGTTTTTTTCAACTTGATAAAGTTCATATATCCATAATGGAAAAGCAACAATTAGTGACATTATAATTAATACCGCAATTTCAATAAATAATAGTGGATTCGAAGTAATTTTCAGGATAATAAAGTTATACATTTTGATCGACCTATTTTTTTTACAAATTTTTAAATTTTTTACGTATAATTTGGAACTATCATGTGCCCGTTTTTCAGTTGACTTTAAATATGGGTAGAATGTTCAAGGCATATTTATAATCGTTTTTCATTTTTTTGCCGAAATATGTATCATGATTAAAAACAAAATATAAAAACAAAAATTGGTGAGAGTCAAGCTCGTAGACAATATGAGAATATAATGGGTTCGTATAGATGGTTGATGGTTGCTAGTGATTCAAAAGCGATATTTCGATTTCAATAAACTTAGTTTGAATTTATTTATATGCTATAAATAAATATTAAATATGCAGTTTATGTTTATAGAATTTAATTATATAGCGTAGCATATTATATATAAAATTTGTTACCAAGCTTTTATAATTTTCAAATAGACCGCGTTATCTGAATACCACGTGCTGAATATACAGTTGACAGTTGACAGATGACATATCTTAGCTCTTTGGTAGTATCTGATTGATAACAACATAGAACAACATAGAACAATTTGTATTTGGATTTGTAAGCTTGTACGTTGTTGGAAATCCCTGCATATTGTTTATTTAACAAAAAACTGGTTGTTTCTGTCATCCAATCGAGACTTGCATGACTCACTTCAAAGATTAAATATATATCTATATTAATCACTTTTAAATCAGAAATAAGCTGTAGAACTGTCAATTCTATTTAGTTTTTTGCAAGTAATTTGTTAAGATTTAGTAAGTACAATTTATTACTACAAAAACACTTATGTGGTTACTTTCAGTTATTTATTATCATTATTATTAAAAAATATTTTTCATTCACCTTATGTTTGTATGAATTTATTAGTCATGTATGATAACATTTTTTTAATTTTTAGACCATGGCTTTGTACCCTTCTCTCGAAGATATGAAAGTTGATCACATGATGGTGGCTCAGCAAAAGCTGATGCCGGAAGCTAGTGCTCCACCACCACAGCAGCTTTATCCGCCTCCTTATCCATCTCAGGCTTCCGGAGATATGCCTTATGGAAATGCTCCTTCAAGCGTCATGTATCCTGGATTATCTGAGTTTATGGGCCTTGAATTATCAGAAGCAATTGTTGCTGCAAATATGCCAGAATATGCTGTAGTGCCCGCAGCTGCAAATAATGTTGCAGTACCTCAGGTAAAATTTTAATACAGTTTGGGAAAATAAAAATTGTCTATGCTTGGAAAAATCTAAAATTTGTTGTTTTTTGTCTTATTCTGTACTTGCAGAATTCAAATAATTTCAATAGAACCTCTGGTATGATTGCTCCTTTATCTGGAAGTTCACTTGGCTTACAACGAGCTCAAGTTACACATGGTATACGGCAGGTAATAATTATTCTCAATATTTTTTTTTACATTTTTACATATTTTTTATTTATCTTTACTTCATAGGTTGTTCTTTGCAAAGATAAAGACAACAAGATTGGATTACGTGTGAACTGCATTGATAAAGGAGTATTTATTGCATTGGTTACTCCAAACTCACCAGCAGCACTTGCAGGATTACGTTTTGGTGATCAAATACTGGAAATTCAAGGGCAATCAGTTGCTGGTTATAACATGGACAAAGTACATGGTATTTTTAAGAAGTGTCCAGTAAATGGAATAAATGTTGCTGTTAGAGATAGGTAAGCCTTTGGTTTCTTCAATTATGAAGTACATTGCACACTAAAAACTTTTTGTTTTAGACCATTTGAAAGGACTATTACCTTGCACAAGGATTCCGCAAATACTATTGGTTTTCAGTTCAAAAATGGTAAAATAACGAGCATTGTTAAGGACTCGTCTGCTGCTAGAAATGGTGTTCTGATAAATCACCAACTTTTGGAAGTTGATGGCCAAAATGTTATTGGTTTGAAAGATAAAGAAATAACAAAAATCATTGATAAAGCTGCACAAAATGTGACCATCACTATCATACCAACATATTTGTATGAACATATGGTTAAGAAGTAAGTAATTCTTATATTACAAAAAAGTGGGTAAAAACATACGATAATCTATAATGATAATATATAATTTTTGTAGAATGGCACCTAGCTTATTGAAAACATCTATGGATCATTCTGTTCCTGCCATATAAAGATAAAAAGTGCATTCAGAGTTATATTTTACCTACAAATATTATATTCTAGAATTAATCATTCAAATTTTATAAAGGAATAAATGCATGCATTTTATTTTAAATATTAAGCATCTATTAAATATTTTAAACATTCACATAATCGTTTAGAACAAAAAATTGTTTAAAAATATATTTAATCAAGTTATAGAATTTGATTGTAAAACGTATTATTTCTAATTATTAAGTATATATATCTTTAATTAAATTTTAATTTTTTTTGTTTTCTTGTATTAGTATTATAGAATTTACAAAGTAATTATTGTTCAAAAAGCCAAAATATAATCACGTACTATATAAATAAATTTTATATTATTATATATTATATGACATGTATATTATATATTTCAATAAAGAACATGATATGGAAATATATTTAATGCCTTAATTGCCTTGTGAGTCATGTTTTTGGTGCTTTGTATGAAATATGTCAGACATAAATGTCTGTCGTACCCAATTTATTAGAATGCCATGTCAGTCACAAGTGATCGACGCAAACGATACATTTGCAGTATATTGGCTTATCAGGAACAAAATCTTAAAATTTTTTGGCTTGTTGAGAAAAAAGTTTAGGTCTATGCATACTATCCTCTTCTTTTATCTATGGGTCTATGGTTTCTAGAAAAAGTGTTTTTTTTTTTTCAAAAATTTTGGCAAAAAAGAGATTTTCTTCTCAGATTGTAAACTAAAACATCTTGATATAACTAACTGCAATGTTAATAATGTAATGACGCAATTAATTTAAAAGAAATTAATTATGAGATTATTAAATAGTGAAAAACGTGCCGAAACACATAATAATTTTTTTTATTTAATTAAATGTGCTGGCCAAAGTTTTAGACCGTAAAATACGAATGTTTTTATAGTTATTAATATTTCATAATTTTAAAATTAAAATTAATATTATATTATATTGGTTCTAACATAGAAATATATGGCCAATGCGGCCAATTGCGGCCAATGATTTAATCATTTATGCATAGATAAGGAAACATTTGTGCTTATTTATCTATGGCAGGGCTTCTTAAACTTCTGTCCTTCACGATCACATTTATGATTGCGAGTTTGTTGACGACCCTACACATATAAAAACATGTTTTAATTTATTTTAATGATTTTAAATAAATAAAAAAAAATTTAAATGATTTATTTATTTGGTAACAATATACATATACATATAATATGAAAATATATATGTTTAAGAATTTGTTGATAAAAAATCAAGGCGTGATGTAATAAAATGAATAAAATGGCATTAAAATCTTTTGCGACCCCAAAATTTTTTTACATGACCCCATTTGGGGTCGCAACCCATAGTTTAAGAAGCCCTGATCTATGGGTGTAATGTAGTTTAGATTCACACCTCATTCTGTTCGTGTCTACGATGAATGCCGCGAACGAAAATGTGCTCAAGTTCCACCTATGGCAACACCTTTGTATATTTTTTTAGCACGATATCACGAGTACTGGCGTTTCGTTTCGTTAGCGTGCGTCTGCGTCAGTGTTCGCTGTTCTGGTATCTTTGCCTTTTGAGGTTGTGTGTTTGCGCAACACGTTCCCATGTATAACTTATAATATTCGGTTATCTAGTGCTACTCCAAAAGACTTAAAATTTGCATTTGTACAAAATGTCTACGAATCATTTAAATTCAAATCATACGGTGACTCCGCGAAAAAAATCGCGGCAGGACGCCGCCAAAGTGACAGTCGTCTGGGGGCTCAATGGGGCGATGAAGGAAAAGGAAAAGTTGTCGACATGCTTGCACTGGATGCCGATGTTGTATGCAGATGTGCGGTGAGTTGATATAAATGTTACTTTTATGTTTAACATTGTGTCAGGGTGCTCTTTATCTTCCCAGAAAGATATCATATGGGTTATTTTGAACTTCTGAGTTTTAAAGCAATTTGCATAATTATTTGGCAAGCCCTAAATTGTATGAGTACATATTATCTCACTGTTCCTCTATTTAATCCAAATTTCAATATTCCTTAATGGCACGAACTAATATTGAATTGTTATTCTTAAAATAAGTCTGTAAGTAATCATTGTTGATAGGAATGATGAAAGTAATTTTTGTTATTTATAAATCCAGCAAATCTTCAATATCAAAAAGCTTTTTTAGGTTTTTTAAAAACTTCCATTTTACCATGGTGCAAAAATTGTAGCTCATAGGATATATATATTTCTATGTTAGAACGATATAATATTCTGTATTTAATTTTATTTTTAAAATCTTTAAATATTAAAAATATCTGCAATTTAGTTCTTATTTTCCGCTTTGAATTTGACCAGTACTCTATAAAACATTTTCTATCAGGTATTCAGCACGTTTTTCACTATTTATTTCTCAATATTATTGCTTTGCAATTAACCATCTAGTAATTTACTTTGAATAATTGTTTCATTACATTTTATCAGAAGAACTTTATTATTAATTTGCATATATTAACAAGCACCTATGTGCTCATTTTTCACTATTTGATTAAATACTTGTAACAGTTTATATCAAAATGTAATCATTTACAACTCTTACAACATGTTTTTTTATCTGCAGTACATATCTTAAAAATTTCCACCTTGTTTTTTTATTTTTCAAAATTTGTCTCCAGTGGGCTATTTCATTTTATCATTTGTGGGTGTGTTTGATGTCATACTCTATTTGATGTGAATGATTTTTTATATGTATTCGTAGATTTATCTTTCCACATTGAGATAACAAAAAATTGATATACAAACTCTTATTTGATTATTTGTATCAACTACATATAGTATAATTTGTTTTGGTAAAAATGACCTAGAATATATAGATATTGTTATTCAAATTCAAGTTACTCTTGATGTGAATCTTTCAGGTGTTTGTATAAATAGAAGTGATGGCTAATTCTATTTGTAAACATTAAACACAAAGTAACTTAATATTGTGTCGTCGTGAACTAAACGATAGAATGTATTAGATAAAATAACTAAACACTGAATCGTGTACAAAATAATACGGTTTTTTCAATATTCTATTAAAAACATGGTATTTGAAAATTTATGTATCTTCTTACATAGAACATACATATTACATATATCTTCTTATATATAACAATGGAGTTCGATATTATGTTAGATCGCTAAAACTCGAAAACGGCTGAACCGATTTGGCCAGTTTTAGTCTTCAAATATTCGTGCTAATCCAGAGGTTGTGGGAAAGGTGAAGCTTTATTTCAAAACCGCGTAGAAACTTTACATTTTTAATCTTTTTTGCAGAAGTTTAATTCAAAATAAAACAATCGACTGCGTTTTTGAATTAAAGGTTATGTTCGAATAAGTTTTAATATGATGTTTTGGATGAACATTATTAATTATAGCAAGTATACTAGCTACAGTACCATACACAAAGACATTATTGAATGGGTTTCAAATGTTATTAGAAACTCAAATTATCGACTTTTTTGAAATGTGAAGATATACACAATACAATACATCTTTATACACTTACAATAAATTAGTAATTTTTTGCAGTCTCTAGAAATTGTTTACAAATACGTTATATGGTAAAACAACGTTTGGCGGATCAGCTAGTATATATATTATCAGTAGATATAGAAATTGGTATCATCTAAGAATAAAAATCTCATGATTATTGATAGATTAGTGTATTAATGTTAGTACCAAATTTTGTGCTTTGATGTAAGATACCAATTTCTATATCCACTCATTATGGTATTAAATTGTATGTAGAAACGTTTGGGATCTTCGTTTTTTATGTATCTCCCTAAAAAAATAATCAAATACCACCCACTACATATATAAAACTATTTGATCGAATTTTATTTGTAAAGGTAATTAAAACACATTATCTCAAATACTAATTAATAAAATAATACGAGTAAGATAAATATTAGTTATTGAACTAATTTGTCAAAATCATTTATTCTATAGTAAATATAACTGATTTATGTATTCATATCTGTGTTTTCATTTGATTTCATTCAAACGCATTGATAATTTAATATCTACACCAATAGTTTACAATATCATGGTACTATGTTTCATAGATCGTCTCTGCCAAAAATGTTGTTCATTCTTTTATCATTTAATTAACGTATTTTATTCTTAATTTGCTTTAATTTTGCGCAATTTAAAAGTACATATCGGCTATATTTGCTTCTCACAAATCCCCTTATCAGATAGCACGGTCAATTAATCATTCAATTACAATTGCATGTATTTTATTAATGTTAATAAATCAATTCTTAAACACATTGTTATTGAACATATTATAAACAAAGATAACAAATAAATTCAAAACTGTCATAAAATTCGTAATTACCTTCGACTTTGTAATGCCAAATTAATGTTTCTGAATCCCATTACATTGTAATGGGAGTCGAAATATTTTAATGTTGTATTGTTGAAGCAAAATCTCGTGATATATTACATATTACCTTGGCACGCGGCGTGGGTATGCTCAAAACTACTCAATTAGATGATTGAATTAATTAATTAATCCTAACTATTTATTATTGATAGAATATATGAAAAAACGTGAACAGAAGTTTTAGTGAAAAAAAACACTGACGTAAGAATAGATACTATTACAATAGTCACTTAATCACTTATCAATTTATGCTCTTCTGATAAAGATATTTGAAGACACGTAAATGGGTACAGGCATAAAGTTAAATTGTAAATCTTGGAAATGGAGAAATACTGTTGTATATCATTTAGAATGATATGAATACTACTGTATATCATGTACAAAACATGAATTTGTAGAATATACGAATTTTTTCTATAGTGCTTAAATTAAATCAAAATAGTTCATCAATTTCTAATTCAATGCTGATTTATTTATATTGGATTGAAAAATCTTATGTTTTCAAGTGAAAATAGCTTTTTCTTGGCAATGTTGCATCAAATTAACAATCAAGTATTAGGGACATCTTCTTAATAAAATAAGAGACCTGGTAGTAATAAAATATATCAAATAGAGATAAGTCCTTTCAGAAGTGAAGTTATTGTTGAGTATATTTAGAGGTTCTAATTGGCGTTGAAACATAAATAAAATATTCAACTAGTGGGGCGCATGGCATCGTACCTTAAGGCAACTTGCTGGAACTTCCCGTACCAATTTTTTTTTAAAGATTAACATTTTTGAAAAAAAAATTACTCTGAAAAAATTAGATTTTTGAGAAACTATAAATTTTTAACAATTTACTTTTTTTCAAAGATAAAAAAAGACTTTTTGAGGAAAAATTTATTTTGAAATATTTTGGAAATTCTGAACTTTTTTTCAAAAACTGTACTGCTTTAACTGCATAGAGACAAAATATAGAAGCGCGTAAGCGCCGCGTCGTCGTCTAACGTCTAAATTTATACTCATTGTTAAAATCTCTATAAAATATCTGATAATTTGATGTGCATATGTCTAATGATCATTTTTAACCGCCAGATGGAATTCTTTTTAACTTTTTTTACTAGATTTCCGAAGCCGCTAGACCTGCATTCATGAAAATTTGATAAGTTCTTCATCTTGTTAATACATACACACACATACATCTATTTTTTCTAAGGTATGCCAAAATGTTCAGAAGGTTCTGAAACGTAAAGATATTTAAAAATTTTCATTTTCGATTTTTTTGCGATTACTATAACTTGCCCTACGGAAAGTTAAAAATATGAATAAATTTTCAAATATATATAAAGATGCAACTTGCATTTTCTTGACCTTACCACAAATTTTGAATTCAAATACCGAATACTGATTCCAAGAGATTATAATATTTCAATTTTTATTTATTATTATTGCTATTTTTTCAATCATATGTAATTAAATATTATGGGAGTTCGTTAGTGTAATGGTTAAGCTCACGGACTCGTGTGAACGTTCGTGAGCTTGAACACCTCTCTGCGGACAACCTGACATCGTGCAGAAGCGATGTATATGTTCACTCGTAAATATAGATTAAAAATATGTTTTCATTTGAAAATAGCATATTTTGAGCACTGCTTTGAGATATGGCAACGGTAGATCTTACTCTATTCTTCCCTGAATCGAGCCAGAGTTTGCCACGGACCTGCCTTAGGGCAGTACTACCCATTATCATATAAATAAACAGACAATATTTCAAATTTTTAATTTAAATTTGATTGTTACTTTTTAGTATATAGATAAGTTTGAGATTCTAAATTTTTTCCGTAATTTTTTTTTTTTTTTTGAAGTCAAAATAAACATTTATGTATTTTCATTTGCATAAGCAACATTGAACTTGTTACGATGCTATTATCATGAGAGCAAAAGATACCTCGGGTGATCAATGCCAAACGATCGCGTAATCGTTTTTTATGAAAACCTTAGAACTCGGTATTGAGCCAAAAGCAATTTCGTCATGTGATGCTCTCAACTATCAGAGCAATTTCAATATCCTGTATTTATCTTCCCGTCATTGAGATGTAGATAGCTTTCTTCGAATTGAATTATTAATAGACTTATTACTATCGTCAATATTTTGAGATTCGGGTTATTTTTATTTTTATTAATAGTTGACTCAAATTTTAACTAATAACAAGGCTTAAAATATTTTAGATTGTAATCATTATACATTTTTAATAGGTGTATATATACTGCAGCCTTGCATCAGTGTTCTTCTCAAACTGTTTTTACTATTGATCAATCAATCGAATAATCTCACTTTTTACGTAATTTCTTATTGAAATATTTCAATACATGCCATATCTAATTATTTACATTAATAATTGATATGACAATGTTGATGAACCAATCTATGATAAATATTGATTTATGATTAGTGCGAATTTTGTTTCATTTTCCAATATTTTTTTTATTGGCGTGATTCAATAGATAATCTTGTGATACATATAGATACTACGTGTGACAAAAAGATACTATTTGTTACATATAATTGCATAAATAAGTTTAATTAATTGCATCATAATTATATATTCTAATGCTTTTGTATATTTGCTCAATAGCACTTTTTTAATACATTATATATATATATATATATATATATATATATATATATATATATATATATATAAGCATTTTGAATTGTACATACTTTTGAAAGAATTATTATTATTATTAAATTTATGACACAATATCTTGGAATAGATACAATGTAATCACAATATAATCATTCAGAAAGTTTTTCATATTAGACTCCGCATTTTAAATCGTGATTAATCAATTACTGTTATTATAAAGATGCGCAGAATTTGCATAATGTATGTGCATATTTATATATGTAAACATATATAGATAAATATATATTATACATTTATACTAATTATAAATATGAATAAATTTTACATGTAGTCTTTGACAAAATATTAGTTCAAATATCATTTTACTAAATTTTTGTGTTATAAAATTATTAATTTTTCATATATATTCTATTTCTAGGGTGGAAATAATGCTGGGCACACTGTAGTGGTTGAAGGCACTGAATTCGATTTCCATTTACTGCCCAGCGGGATAATCAACAAAGACTGTATTTCTATTATTGGTTAGTATATATAAGAAAAATATATATTTATGTATCTATTCTTATTTCTTCATTTACCAAATTTAATGATTTTACAAGATGCTAAATAATATAAAAAATATGTGGAAGATCTCTACAAATAGAACTTAATTTCACTTTTTATGCAGCTTGGCTGTAGTGATTGTCATATGACCCGTCGAAATTCCAGCTACGTCCATGAATGATATCGGATTAAATAAATAAATAAGTAATCTAGAATTCCATTCTGCTTTCAATATTGATATAGATACTGTTTCTCCGTTAACGCCACTTACACATAGAATAAAACAGTTGCGCATTTTTACAAATAAATTTGTCATATTCATATATGACCTAGATTTTTATCGCAAATTCTTGCATATTTCTTTATGGAAATTTTAATTAGTGCAATATATTTGTTTAATAAACAATTTAAAATTGGCTGTGCTAAGCTTGTTGTTATTTGCTATTTATTAACCATAACATTGAACAAATTAGCAAATTCAAATTCAATAATATTTATAATTGCGTATACATTTGTGGCTTTACTTCACCTGATTTGCGTCATTTCGTTCGATATTGCTATATAAACACTTGACTTAAATATGCATATTTATTTAACAATATTATAACAATAATTATGATAACAATCTTAAATATAATGATGCAGTTCTTGAAATTATTGAAGATATCGCATATTTCATATAATGAAATGGTAGTTGTATAGTATACTGAATACTAATGCTAAATAAATATTTGATTTTCTTGTTATTTTTTATGTTTGTATTTCAAACACACAAATATCAACTGACCTTGATGTTTATATATTTATCCTTTTGTTATTTTAATTGATTGAAAAATTAAATATCCAGTTCATTTACTATAACATTTTTTAATAATAAACATGTAACTCTGAAAATTCTAAGTTGATAAATTATTTAGTTCAAGATTACGATGTAGGTGAAAATTTCATCATACCAGCCAAAGAAAAACAATTTGCCATTGAAAAATTCTGCATTTCATAAGTGATCAAAGCATTGGCAATTTTTCAGTTTAACACTTGTGGTCTAATTTATCTTTTCTTGATTTTGGCACGTAAGCCGAAACGCCAATCTTGTATTACTGAGACCGATCATGAGAATCGCCGTTTGTTGCTTAATTTATGTTGGTTGAAAACAATGATGCAAATGTAATCCATTCGAAACACCTACAAATATCCACTGTGGAGCTCGAAATTTATCGATTTAAGTATTTTTAAAACGATTTGAAATGCACAACACAATGGTAGATATTTGTTAAAAATAATATTTTGGCAATCGCACATATGATCCTATAAATTAGTATTATCCATTGTGACGTAACAAAAATACATTTAATCTATTTTATTATATCTGTTTTTGATTAGCTATAATTACAGAATCTATGTCACTGTGCTGCCGCTTTTTAATTTATGCTGTAACACAATAGTTATCCTTGAAAATGTATCAATTATTGATAAAATTTGATAGTTTTGTCATTGTTCGACATTGTCGTACTAATCTCATATTACGTCTGTGCAATTGAAACGAATGGTTATGCAAGCACATCTTATTCTATACTCGTATGCTGCTTTTGTTCCAAATAATTTATCAGTTCTTTTTTTTTTTGAAAATTGTTTTATTTCCAAAATATCTTAGAAATTGTAATATTCATATAGAAAACTGTTGTTGAAGTTACAACACCGAAAAAGATTTGTAAATGTTTATATATAGATTAAACACATTTCTTATTTAATCAAACAAAACGTTACATTATACGAAACTATTAAATTTCTTATAAGCTATGCCGTGATATTTTACGTTTACTATCCAAATGAGTTACGATCAAGTTTTACTTGTACCCCCGGCTCTCCTGACTTGAATCACGAAATTGTTTTCAGACATGTATCGTTAATAAAAAACAGATAATAGTATTAAACTCCATTTAATTCTATTTTTGTACCCCGGAAGTTTTGTTGGTTTGCACGAAATTATTCCATTTCTTATTTAGTAAACCGGTACCACGCGTCTCCGGCATTGTCTCATTATCATAATGTCGCTAATTACCATATTGATCGATGACATACAGGTGTTTTTTAACCCGTGATATTTTGTTTTTGTATTTATAGTTAAAAGGCTAAATATTTTACATATTAGGCGAAAGCAAACAATCGTTAAATTGGTCAATTATTTGTTAATTGAATTATGCATGCAAAATTCACTTTCAAACACGACCATGAAATAAGAAATATACTTTATGTGCAGTTTAATTTAAAAAAAATTAACGTAAATGTAAACAATTTTCTTCAAAATTTCTTTGATTATAAATCTATTTTATTTTGTAAATTTTCGTAAAAACTACTTGAACTAATCAATTCACTGGGCGTATTACGTAACGTTAAGCGGATTCTGTATTTTATATATTATTTCTGGTTAAATATTTGTAGCAAAAATATGAAAATCACGTTCATTATATGCAAAATTAAAAAAGTTCAGCAATTTTTACTATTTATATTGTCGTGCTCTTAGGGAATGGTGTTGTCATTCACTTGCCTGGTTTATTTGAGGAATTGGAAAAAAATGAGAAGAAAGGTCTAAGTGGTTGGGAATCTCGTCTTGTAATATCAGATCGGGCACATCTTGTATTCGACATGCATCAGCAGGTCGACGGCATGCAGGAATCAGAAAAGGGTGGATTAACCATTGGCACAACCAAAAAAGGCATTGGTCCGACATACTCTTCTAAGGTTGTATTAAATTTCATTTTTGGATTTTGAAATATTTACTTTTATCTTTATTTCAACCATTTTTATTTTGCAGGCAACCCGTAATGGATTGAGAGTGGGTGATTTATTGGGAGATTATGATTTGTTCAGCCGAAAATTTAGGCAGTTGGCTGCTTTGTACCAAAGAATGTTTCCAAGTCTTGAAATTGACGTGGAAGGGGAATTGAAAAGGTAAATATTAAGGAATTTTTCATACGAAATTCAGAATTACAAAAGACACTAACTTTGATAATACATTTTTTTACAGGTATCGCGAATTTGCAGTCAAATTGCGACCGTTTGTTAAGGAATCTGTATCGTATTTGCACAATTTATTATTAGAAGGCAAGAAAGTTTTAGTCGAAGGAGCTAATGCTGCTATGTTAGACATTGATTTTGGTTAGTATTGAAATAACTATCACAAATGTCTTCAATCAAGCACCAAATGTTTGAATCAGATCAGTTTTGAACCATTTCACTTTCCACAGGTACCTACCCATATGTAACATCGTCTAACTGTAGTATAGGAGGTGTAGTAACTGGCTTAGGTTTGCCTCCTCGGAACATTGGTGATATTGTGGGTGTAGTGAAAGCTTATACAACTAGAGTGGGCGATGGTCCATTTCCTACTGAATTGCATGATGTAAGATATTTTTTTATTCATGGTTAAAATATTATGTATAGCTGCATTTAAATACTTGGCTCAGACTAACAAATCAGATAAATGTCATTTATACAAACTCAAATATGTTATACTGCAGATAATAAAAAATGTTTCTGTTTATTGCAGGAAATTGGAGAACTTCTCCAAACCCGAGGAGGAGAAATCGGTGTAACAACGAAAAGGAAGCGAAGATGTGGATGGCTTGATCTAGCCTTATTGCATTATACCTCAATGGTCAACGGATATACAATGTATGCATAGCATATTTTATTTTGTATCATTTATTGATTTTGCATTAATTGTTATTGGCAAACAAAATCTGGAATTTGTTGGCTAGTCCACAGCCTTTATTTCACATGCATGTTTTAGCATGATTATCTACATTAGTTTATATTATGCTCATTTTTTAATACCATTTTATTCTATTTTAGGTTGTGTGTTACGAAGCTAGATATATTAGATACGTTACCAGAAATTTTAATAGGTGTAAACTACAAGATAAACGGTGTTGTTATTGATCATTTCCCTTCCACCTGCCAAGAATTGGAATCTGTAGAGGTAAAAGCAAACAAATCAATTATTACTTTTGTTTTATAAGCTTTGCTTATGCAATTGTTTTAAGACTGCATCTGCAATTCAATTATGAAGGTGCAATAGCATTTAATTAAATTTAAATATTTAATTGCAGGTGGAATATATAACTATGCCTGGTTGGCAAACTAGTACCGCAGATGTTAGAGAGTTTAAAAATCTGCCTGAGGCCGCTAAGAAGTATATCAAACGAATTGAAGAAGAATTAGATATTCCAGGTGAGTGTAAGATCAAAAGCTTTCTGACCATAATATATTTTAGCAATTGTAGGTTAACATAGTTAAATTAGTGTTGTTCCAATAACTTTGTGTAATTATTTTCCATGAACTAATTTACAAGAATATAAATTATAGCGATAATATTATAATTTTTTATGGTCAGGTTTTATTTGAAATTGTATATATATATATATATATATATATATATATATATAAAATATTTTACTCAAATATTTTATTTTATATAAAATATATTTATTTATTTATTTCCAGTGCGATGGATTGGTGTTGGCAAAGGCAGGGAATCAATAATCAATCTCTTTTAAAATAAATTTTCACTAGTTGAAGAAGCTATGAACTGAAATGCACAAAAAGATATTTCAAGGATTATTTTTCCGTCCATACATATTGGAAAATAACCAAAAATTAATCATAGATTGGATGCTGATTATTTCTTCATCAATTGAAACTTTTTGTGCAGATACGAGTATCAATTTTAATTGTTATTGTTATACTGTATATAAATATTGTTGTAACTGTTACAGATTACTATTACATTTTAAATTGAATCTCTTATCATATTTTTTTATCAACATTTTACAATCAAGTGTGTGATGAATCACATACTAATTTAAACCAGTCATATGTATTTTTATAAAAGTTTTATAATTTTCTGTAATATATTTTGTAATTTTATTAATAATATTCTGATGCAGTATTCAAACAATATTTATGGACATACCTCTTTGCAAATAAAAAACTTTACAATCTACATTTGGTGCGAGTACTTACAAGAAATAAATGCGCAACAATACAATACAATAAATTAGTTTGTAAATACTTTTTTACAAATATATTTTGTAATAGTGGTATATCTTTAAAATGCATTTTTATCAAAATCTGTTATTTTAAGGCTCATTGTGTGACTGCATTTTATTCAAAATAAAATTTGCTTACTAGTAAAATGCTGTGATACAACTGGGCCTCTTAGTAATTCGTAATAATTTATCGGAAGCATACCTGTGAGCTACATGTGTAATTACTATTTTTTAAATTTCATATTGTATCTATATATACTATACCTCCTCAAAATTGTTAATGTTCAATTATGTTACATATACAAATACAGAAATTACAACAAAGATTATACTTTTTTTATGAAAATCGGACAAAATACAAAAATAAATTAGCATTTTAAGCTTATTAATTCTGATTATATCTTCGTTTTTTTTTTTTTTTTTTAATTAATTTATTAATTTAGGATGAATATTGATAAATGAACGAATGTATTAGAGCACCTGCTACCTCTTTCTTAGTTTTATTCTAATATACCAATAATAAAAAATGAGTATAGTAAATACTTATCAAAATGAGTGTTGATGGAAATATTCGTCGAGATCAATTTTAATTCAAGATTCTTCTTGTACAATTACGCTGGTCTCTAAAAGCTACTGGTGAATATCATGCATTTGTTCAAGCTTATGAGAATATAATCAGGCAAATATTTTTTACAAATATAAAAGAGTTTAAAAATAAATTAAATTTAAATTTCTACACGAATTGCAATAATCATACATTTTACTTATAGTATTTGTTCGGTCATGGTAAAAATGATTAAATCGCGGGACTTGTAAATTATTCATACGTATTGTGAATACGTAGTATTTGTAAAAGCATGCTGAATAAATTAGTAAATTAAATTGATGAAAAATATTGCATTAGTACGTATGAAGATCATTATTCAATGATCAGAATTTTATTCTAAATGGTGTCTGATCGTTATTTAACTTATTCTATAGATATGCGGATATTCCTAAATGAAATTGTTCTTGATATTAATTATAATGAGTAACCCACAAGAAACTTTAACAATATTCTATGTAAACCAATTATTTATTCTTGCTGATAAAACTTGACGATATGGATTGAAAATATATCACTCATATGAAAGATGCCTCCATATTTTAAGTAGGAACTGGGATAATTGTATTAAACGGCAATAGAATATGAAAACTCATCATGAGGAATGAAATCTTGTTCTTTTATTTTAAAATGCAATAAATACAGGCATGATATGAAATATTACAGCTAATATTGATTGAACGTAATAAATATATAATGATATAAATGGATTTCAGCATAAATATTCCAATTGTCTAAGGAACAAAAGACAGAATAACATTAACATGTGTTTAGCAGTATATTTTTCTCATGGAAGACATTAAAATGACATTACACACAATAGGAAGACCTAGTAAACAAGTAACTTTGATCAGCAATTTTTTTGTTATTGAGATGGTTCATTAATTTATTAAGTTGGGGCCTTCGTGGCGGAGTGTTAAGCGCGACATAGAGTAGTAGCGATATCAATTTTTACTTGGGCATAAGTATAGCTCTTAAATATGATTTTAAGTGAAAATAGCCTTTCCTGGGCATTGCTGCACCAAATTGAATAAGTAAGCCCTATTAGATAAATTCTGATAATACAATCATCAAATATGGATAGGTTGATCCTAGGCTACCATCTAAAAAGCGGCGTAAGGAGAAGGTTTCAGACCAGCTTATTATAGGAAGTAATGTTATGATTCTGAAGAAATAAAGATAATTATATATAACTTATTAATTAAGGTAACCTTAATTACCTACTTTTGTGCTAACATCGCCGGAACTAGTGTCACTGGACGAATTACTCAGATTCAATTATTACTCAAAATTTATTTAATTCAAATAGAAAAAAGTGCAATTATCAAAGTTGTTTCCATCTTATTATTTTTTTACTGAGTAATTTTTATTGAAAGATCAAACGAGGGGTTAGAGCGACATCGAACAGCAGCGATATCAATTCTCACTTGGGCATATAAAAATGAAATAGCCTTTTCCGTGCATTGCTGCATCACATTGAATAAATAAGCCTTATTAGATAAATTATGATAATAAAATAATCAAATATGGATAGATCAACCACTAGGCTACTATCTAAAAAGGAGAAAGTTTCAGACCAGTTTGTAGGACGTAAGGTTATGATTCTGAAGAATTAAAGCAAATTAATAATAGCCTATTAATTAGGCCTTAAGGTGCTACATTAGTTATCTAATTTTGTGGTAACATCGCTGGAACAAGCCTGACAAATATTTATTTATTTTGTTCAAATAGAAATAAGTGCAATTGTCAAAGTTTCCATCTTATTATTTTTAAGTAAGTAATTTTTCATTGGAGGAACAAAAAAATTAAAATCAGGCTATATCCTAGTAGGTTTGCTTTTAAGGTTAAATGATAACCGAAAGCCGGTAATGCGCAGGATACGGTATTTGTTGTGGAGTCCGCATGTTGATTCAATTTTTCTGGCAGTAGTCGAGCGCACGTCGTCGGAAGCGTTTCGTATCGTAATGAATTAGTTCCCTTTTACTTTCTTAATACAAAATATAGAGAAATATTATTAATAATATTATACGCTATATTTAAAATTCCTTTGTGCACGTGTATAAATCAAGCGTTGGTAAAATATAAAAAAATGCGGTGATTTACAGCGTTGCTTCATGCCATAAAACGATTTTTTGTTAATGAAAAACGTGGTTTAAAATTAGTATTTTGTTTTATCTGTAAAAGTTTCAGTTCTTACTTTTATAATAAAAAACTATCGATGTTTACGTAATACCAGATTATAACTATTTAGAATAATTAAACAAATCGAAATTATTGGATATATAAGTGTTGAATACATTTTAAAAATGGTTATGGTGAATTTATCCTGAATATATTTATACAATTTTGTGATGATGGTTTGTGAGTGATTAGTGACACACTAACTTAAATACTTAATCACAGAAGTGCTGAATAATAATAGTTTAGTTCTTAATTAAATATTTGGAAGATTAATTTTGAAAAACTACAGGTTTGTGCATAATTTTATTTAATACATTTTTTAAGTGTCCCTTAATTTTTATTTCCGTGTGGGCGTTGTTCGGCTTAACTTAGGACTCTATAATCGCCTGTACCCGTGGCTGAAATAGTTCAAGCGTTACCCATACTAAATTATTCATTTACATTTAAATTTTGAAGTCTTATGTGTACATTTCATAAATAATCAGAAACTGCAAAAAAAATCTGCACGAGTCGTACATTTCAATCGTGTAAATCTACATTAAGTATGAAAATAATTATAATGATAAAAAACTTATAGAGGAAATGTTAAAAGAATTTTCAATAGAAAATTTGGAAAAATGTGACAAAAGGAATAAATAATTTGAACCGCATAGAGAAAAGTTATATCAGATATTATTTGTAAGCATTTTATTAGCAAAATATGGTTTGATACACAAACTGACATATTCAGAAATATTTTAAAAAGAATTTAGTACTTATAAAATATTAGAACATGATCGTACGATATTTTTAGTTTTTTTTTTTATTTCTATATAATTACAATTTGCCCTGGTAAAGCATTTATTAATTTTGGTAGATATAAAATTTCAAAATGCTACGCAATGGTAGTCATTTTAAGATTGAAAATTGATATAACAAATATACAGAACAATAATAATTACATGTCTGTTAGCCAAATCTAAAGGGTTCGAGTCCTTTGGAGATGTTTTTTTAGATGCATGTCTTCTGATTTTATCTGTAACCGTGAACATATTGGAGTCGTGGTAGATCAGCTAATTTGGGATATACTTGGGCGCCTCTAGTATTTTTTTAAAAAACGTATTTTGTAACCTTTGTGACTAGATTTTTAAAATCTAAACATATTTGCAAGCGATAAGATATAAAATTGATAAGCCCATCCTTTTAGAACTAAATATGAAAACCTGCCATTAATTTTTGAAAACCATAAGTTTTGTCAAGATAAATCGAAAAAAAGAAAAATAATGTAATAGTTTTATTTACATATTTTTAAAATTACGAATCACGTAAACATATCCATATTTTTTATATTGATTGAAAAGCGAACAGAAATTAAGGTTCTATGAGCTTTTCTGATGATTTACTTAACTAAAACCACTTCGGTTTTTATAGATGTCAACCCGAACAGTTGTTTCATCACTGTGTCGTTTCAATTATTACAATTTCTGTAATAGTGAAGATTTTTTATTGAGTTAGCAATCATGGGTGCTATTTTCACTTAGAAACACACTGCTATCTGTATTTCCAAGTAAACACCCATATCACTTATGCTTGACATCAGGTTGCTTAAGAGGGATGTTAAACTTGCGATTTTTGGTTGAAATCCCATAGTTCTAACCACTTACCAATATCTACATGAAATTTTTTTCTCCTGATTTACTTTTATTGCCGTTTCTACATCATCAATTTGTACCAAATTGTCCACGAAGCTTGCAGAGGTTAGCTGCAATATTTTTAATAACTGGACATTTTATCGCAGTGGGATTTCAGACTGCGACTTATATTGGACAATAAATAATATTTTAATCCATAAATTTCGTCTTTCTATCAAACGGC